ATTAACAATATGCTAAATTTCCCATTGCACTCTCAAGCATTATTGGGGCTATTTTATGATTTCTCGTAGGGCACGCTTGGTTCGTATAAAAACAATTTTGACGAAAAAAAATTTGACACGAAAGAACTCTTCCATGTGAGGAGATGAATGTTTTTGCGTACCAATTGGTCCATTTTTATGGTAATCTTTTATGTAGTTGATCAATTAGTGCGTAAAACATTCATGACTCCTCACCTGGGCGTTTCTTTCATGTGAGAAATCTTTTTTTGAAATGTTTTCATCTGCCCTTAATTATTTCTTCTTTTTATTTTATTTTATTTTCTTTGCTGTTGCTTGTCGGAGACCAAGAGATAGTATTGAAGGGAGACCTTGCCGATGCAATAATTCAAATGCTTTTTTTTCTATTATTAATAAATTTTTAATACCATAAAAAATAGTTACATTTCAAAAAGCAAAGAATCAAAATGGAAGACAGAAGAAAGAGTTTTCCCCCTTTTGGCCCACGTATCTGCCACCTCATTGACGTCCCTGTATGAACTGCCATGAGAGAATTCGAAACCTCCACTTATATTCATTGACCTCCCTGTATGAATTCCATGAATTGCAAAGAGAGAATTCGAAACCTCCACTTATGTCTTGCATCTCACCCCAAACAGCCCTCAAAGACCATGGACGTCTGCTAACAATGGAAAATATTAAGCAAATCACCTTCAATTATGCAATTGGACACCAAATCCTTCGCCTTTACCATCCTCAATCCATGGAGGTCTTCTAACAATTGAAAATATTAAGCAAATCACGTTCCATTATGCAAGTGGACACCAAATCCTTGTCCTTTACCATCCTCAATCCTTGAAGTAGTGCCCAAAGTTCGGCTTTATTTGCTGTTGAAGTACAACAAAGACCACTAAATGAGAAAAATACATGACTAGCAGAATCCCTCCCTAGACCACCAATTCCCACTGGCCTAAAGAGTTTCAATCAAAATTAGAGTGATTTATGTAGGAGCTTTAAAAGTTTAGGTAAAAGACAAAATGCTCCACTTCTATGTAAAAATTACAAAGAACGTCAATCAACTCTTTTTTTCCAAAATTGCCCCTTGTTCAACCCAAATTTTGATTTTTTTTTTTATTGTAGGGCAGTGCCCCAAGCTTTAAGGCACTACCCTATTGACGAAAATGCTAAAAAATACAAAAATAAAAAAAAATGGGTTGATCGGCCTTCTTTATAATTTCCGCATATAAATAGAGCAATTTGTATTTGACGTAAAATTTTAAGGTCCATACGTAAGTCACTGTCAAAATTAAATTTGACACATTTTAGTTCAGGACGCTTTCATCTTTCTCTATGTCTTCCCTTGAAAGAAAAAAGATGTATAAGACTCCTTAAATTCAAGAAACATATGCTTTGGACGTCCATAACCTTCTTTAGTTGTTGAGAACCAACTCCATAGATAGTTTTTTTTAAACCCCTCCGTGGTCAATAAAACTCTATCAAAGGTTTGTCTATTCCACTCCTTCCAAACTTCCACGGAAGCAATGAAAATCTTCCATAAAATTGACCTTTAGAAGGTAATCCTGGAATATTTAGCCAAAGCAAAACATGGTGAAGATTCGAGGACAATGCAAGAACAAGTGATCCCCCGTTTCTGCATCATCCTTACAGAGTAAACAAACATTAATTAACACATTTCCTTTCTTTTTAAGGTTATCAATAATCAAGATTTTATTTACATAAGAACCCATATGAAAGCCAAAATTTTGTGAGGAGCAACCATCTTCCAAACTAGCTTCAGATCTGGTTGGATCTCTGTCCATCGTTCATGATAAATGAGACGATATACTAATTTGACCGAAAAAAGACCATCATTCTTAACCTCCCATAACATTTATGGGATATGTATCATTGTTTTGTAGGGAGTGAACTTTTTTTCTTCAACTTCGCCATAATACATGTCTTTCCATTCAACTTGCGTATTCAAATAAAAACAAGATATGTAGACATGGGCGTAGAATGGACAAAAAAAAAGAAAAAACATTCCCTAATCCAATGCAATTGTTCATGCTTAAACCACTGTGCCGGGACTCGTCCGAGGACTTGACTTGGCCAAGTTGCTTAGCCTCGCCCTATACCCCTGAGTTGTGTGTACAACTTGGGCATTGAAAAAAAAGGAAAGAAAAAAAAGGAAAGAGTTTATATAAGGTTGCAATCTTAAAATATAGAATTACGGATGCGCATAAAAAATCTATTGAAAAAGATTGTTTTAACATTGAAAAACCCTCTAATTGATCATCTCGACATTGAGATTAATGAATATAAAAAAAAATAGATTTTCAGTTCTAGAAATATTGTATCTTGCAAAACATTTTCTAGACCTTTCATTTTCAAGATTTTCATATGTTTATAGATCTACTTGATTTTAACCATTTTTGGAGTTTAAAATTTTATAATTAGATATGAAAATAGATTTTCGGATAATCTTAATAATTTTTTGCACCAAAATTATATGTTATGATAATATTTGGAGGTACGCCTTAATTGGACTGTTTAAAGTTGCAATCTTATAGAAACTGCACCCTTAAAAAAAAACCAAATAGTTTTTTTTTTTTTTTCTATAATGTTAACCTTAAAAAAAAAAAATGTAGAAAATAAAGATATGTTATACAAATTTTTCTTAGATGATTTGGATGTGTTTTGTAAAGATTGGGGAGCATTTTTTCCATAATCGCTATTTTATATTTTGTTTTTTTTTTTGGAATTTTAAAATGTCCCAAACTATAAATTTAGTTTTTTTAATATTTTTCTCTACTTTTTAGTCTTTTTTTGCATTTTAAAGTTGTTTTCGGCTTAATTTTACTTTTAATACATGCTGTTTTGTTTTTTTTTTTTTTTTCAAATTTATCATAATTTTTTAAAATTCATTTCGCCCTGTGCTTAACTTTGCCTATTGGCCAAGGGGCAAGTCCACTGCCCGAGGTGAGTCCTGGCTCATTGTGTTTAACGTAGCATGATCAGCAATCTCGTCACTCCAAATATGCCATGGTGGTGGCAATCCATTAGGACTCAACCCCAACAAGCGTGGTATAAAATTTAAAGCAATCAGTCCAGTTCTTCTCAGAGTTTTCAAGCTTCGCAGGTAATGTAGGGGTGTTTGAAATTCAACAGCTCTAATTCCCTAAGTGGATAAATATTCTTTGAGTTTGGTTTGTCGAGCAATTTTAGCATTTGCTACTGATGAATATGCCCACCGAAGTTGACCATGTCTACAATTCAATCTCCTCAAAACTAGCTCTAGCTCTACTCCACCTCTATCTCAATTCCCTAAGAACTACAGCTACAATCTAACTGAGAATTGGGCTAGAGTCGTTGTGGTAGTACCACCTGAGCCTCTGTTAAAGGTCATGGCCTCCTAATACTTTAAAAAAGTTGGCTCTTTCCGTAGGGGCCTGCAATCCCCACTAAGAATTTGAAAATTGAAGTTGGTTGAGGCGCCCTCGGAGTGGACTATCTTTTAGGGAAAAACAGTCATTTGATCGAAAGAAACAGAGGTTCATCAAGTTCCATAAGGACAGAGGCACTGGTTGATTACATGTTGAGCTAATATTGACCTTTTAAGGATGGAATTTCCACTAGAATTTGGATTTCCTGAATTAGCAATGCAGTGAGTCCTAGACATTTAGTCAATCTTGGAATTCCCTCTATATAAATTCCTCACTAGTGACTGATACCTATATAGCATCTTCCCTCTCTTCATCCATGGATGCTTCCTTCAGTACAAACCAATTTCCACCAAAATTCGTCCATCCACTTTTGATGAGAATCGGATCCATATTGCTTCATCATGCATCATGTTTTACTTTTACTAGACTTCTATAAACGAGATATCCGATCTATCAAGCATATCTCTATGAACAACTGAATCAGTGTGGACCTTTTTTCTTATATTTAAGCATATCTCTATCAACAACTGAATCAGTGTGTGTTTCTTATATTTAAGCATATCTCTATCAACAATTGAATTAGTGTGGGCCCCTTGTTTTTTATATTTAACGATATCTCTATCAACAACGGAATAAGTGTGGGCCACTTGTTTCTTATATTTTATAGAATATTTGACTCCACCATTGAGCTCTTCATATGTCCAATAATCTATCAACTCATCCTTATTAATAAAGTAAATAACAAAGGAAAATAAACATAAAAGAATAATATAAGGAATTGTATACTATGAGACCATTTATCATTAGTACAAGGAGGTCACAATCAATTTTAACCACTAGATGTCATATTTGATGGCTTAAGTTGTGTCACAAAGTTCGAAAATTTTATTTTCGAACTTTCAGTAGAGCCAATGATATGCTTATAATTATCCTATTTAAAATCTGATCGACATGAGTAATTGTGACCTCCTTATGCTAAAAGTAAATGGTCTCATTGTATACTTTTCTATAATATGATAGAATTAAGCACGTGGGAAGTCAGACCTTTAGGCTTGGTATCCGAAGTTGGGAACTGGAGAAGATAAAAAATGACATGTCCTTCCTCCTTTCACCTTCAAGATTTGTTGAACTAAATTATCTTGAACTTTGGGCAAAGTTTGCTTAGGAATTTGCTTGGAAAGGCTTTCCCTTGCTTAAGGTCTATAGTAGTTTGCAGAGACTAAGATTTCGATTGACGTAGGATTTGGATGCAGGAAGCCAGGGTATGAGAAGGGTTGGAAGATTAAGATTTTTGTATATGGAAGAGGCCCAAAATTTATCGGAATAGGTCTATTTATAGCCCATTCAGGCACCCCAGTCCAGGTCTATATTTGAGTGGACGAGAGAAAGAATAGAAGCCTAATTACAAGCATTGAGAGAGAGAGATGGCGTGTCATAGACTCAAGCTACATACAGGCACCCCAGTCCAGGTCGAAGTCATGGATCCTGGTGCCCGACGGCTTCCCTGTGATCGGCCTGTCTCATATGTTATTTCAGGAGGTTTGTCGTGAGCCAAAGGCCATGGAGAAACTGGTGAACCAAGTCAGGACAGCTTTAAAAGAGTGGGGCGCCTTTCACGTCATAAACCATGGCGTCCCTTTGAAAGTCATCCGAAACATGAGGGCGAAGTTGGCCGGGTTCTTTGCTCATCCCCTTGAAGAGAAGCAAAAGTTTGTGAGGGACATTCTGAGCTCCTCAGACTACCATAACCAGGATCACCGCAACAGGGACTGGTGTGAAGTTTATGACTACTTGCTCAACAGCTCTTGCCAGAAGCCAGAGAACCCGCCGGGATTCGCGTAATGAGATCTTCTCTCCACATAGACCCTTTCACATGCATATAATACATATATACTTTTGTTAATGGGTCACAATCTCTCTTAGCCGTCTGATGTAAAATTGAGGAACTAACGATATGCCACGGAGTTCAATAAAAAACTGTCGGTTTTTTAACTTAGTGAATGGCCTGTGCCCAACCGCCCCATTTTACATCAGATTGCTAAAGACCATTGTGACATTCTCGTAACTTGGATATTCATTTTTTTGGACTATCTCTTGGGGCCTAATTAAGATGATGGAGAGTAAAAACACTACTAATTATTTAACTTATTCGACGATTTTAAGCTTTTTTTTAGTTATTTCTGGCTCAAAAATGTGATTTTCATCTGTCCATTTTGGATGAAGTAAAAACAACTTTTTAAAAGATAAACTTGTATTTAAAATTTCGTTTAAGTTTATCAGGTAATTTTGTGAGAGACATTGACAAATAATAAATAATTCATTATTAGGATTAACGCTATTGAAACATTGAATTGTCAAGGACTTGTCCGTTCTTGTTGTTGTTCTCGCGCTGGCCTCTCCTATAGGTGCAAGGATTTAGGATTAAGGTTATTTCTCTTCAGTGGTGTGCACAGGAAAATTCAGTTGTTGTTGTGTGTATATATATATATATATCAAAAAAATATTTTTCATGAAATAAATTGATCAAAATATACTTGAAAAGATTTGAAGGGTCTTTTGGTCATTTTTTTCACGAATAATTTGTTTTTATAGTTTTATTCGGTGCTCCTTGATGAAAAAAATACACACGTAAAATTTTAAGTGACTTGGATTTGTAGAAAAATAAATAAAATTCAAGCACTACCGGACATCTATGATCGTCAGATCGGCCTAGATTCAATCTGAGCCGTTTGGCTCATATATTCATATGAGCTAGTGAGCTAATCTCAAATTTATCCTCTATATATATATATATATATATATATAAAGAGAGAGAGAGAGAAAATATTCATAATAAGAAAAAGTTTATATAAAGTTGCAACCTTAAAAGAATTAAGGTGCATCTCAAAAATCCATCATAAAAGATTGTTTTGATGTTGGAAAACATTCTAATTGATCATCTCGACCTCAAGATGTATGAATATGGAAAAAAAAAAGGATTTTCAGTCCTAAAAATAGTTTATCTTGCAACACATTATTTGGACCATCTATTTTCAAGATTTCTAAGTATTTATAGATCTATGTGATTTGAACTATTTTTGGAGTTTAAGATTTTATAATTAGAGATTAAAATAGATTCTCAAGCCTTCCTAATAATTTTTTATACGAAAATTATATTTATGATAAAATTTGGAGGTCCGCCTTCGGATAGGTGGGTTGGTTGCCTACTTAACACAACCCGCCTCCTCCACTCGAGCTTAGGATAGGTTGAGAGAAAGTTTATGATACTCATCCTTATCAGACCAATACACACAAACACGCTTTTTCCTTTTTTATTTTGTTTGAGTTTTTTATTTGGTTTTTTGAAGATTCAAATGATTTCGAAATGAAATGAAAACAAGATACTCTTGGGCAATATGATAATTTTGCTTTTTGAACCTCGGTGGTAAGTGATTTGTAGTGCATAAGATAGGTTGAGAGAAAGTTTAAGGTCCTTATCCTTATCACCAATACTCACACAAACACACCTTTTTTTTTATATATTTTTATATTTTGTTTGAGAGTTTTTTATTTGGTTTTTTAAATATTCAAATGATTTCGAAATGAAATGAAAACAAGACACTCTTGGGCAGTATGACAATTTTGCTTTTTAACCTCGGTGGCGAGTGATTTATAGTGTATACGGCCACATATTTACCATTTTTTCTCAACAAAAAAGAATTTAAAAACGAAGAATACCATATATTAGTAGTATATGGTAAGTCTTACCCTGTAAATATCAATGTTCTCAAAATTGGAGTAGCCAACGTATCAACAAGGGCATATTCTAGTAAAAACAAATTCCAACAAGGGCATAGTCTAGTAAAAACAAATTCCACCGCTGGTCAAACTAAGTGGACAATATTTTTCAAAATATAAATTTTTTTAAAAATAATATCATGCAATATGAAATATACTATAAAAAAAGAGATGAGTAAATCGATAAAAAAAAAGACTAGTTGACGAGCCTAATATTGGTTTCGTCTTGTTTTATGAGTAAAACTAATCGTCTTGTTTTATGAGTAAAACTAATTTTTTGTTTGAACTAGTTCAAATTTAAATGATTGGACTGTCCCGATATACTAACGGTAGAAAATTTAGAGACATGTGAGGCCCAACTTAGTGTTTTGCTCTTGGCCGAACGTAAGAAATAATCTTACCTGTATACACACACAGGCATGTGAGGCACATGCAAAAGCCACAGAGAAACTAGGGTTCAAGATTTTGGAGCTCATAGCTCTAAGCTTGGGACTTTCTGTGAAGAAATTCCACCCCTTGTTTGAGAACCATGGCAGTTACATTCACCACAACCATTATCCTCAATGCCCCAGCCCAGAGCTGGCATTGGGCAAAGGATCACACACAGACCTCTCTGCCATTTCAGTCCACATCGAGGATGATGCTGGTGGCTTCGAGATCAAACGGAATAATGGAAATTGAGTTAAGGTGAAACCCCTTTCAGGTGCGTACGTCATCAACACTGGAGATGCCATGAGGGTATTGCAGAATCTCTGTCTCTCCGTCTTTCCTATCCATATCTATAGACAATAGCTTTCTTTGTCTAAATTCTTTTGGGGGTTCTTAACATTTTGCAGGTTTTTTCTAATGACCGAATCGAGAGTGTAATACACAAAGTCTTGGTAAGTGGGGAGGACAGGTATTCCGCAGTTCTCGCAATCGAACCGGCTCGCAATGTGATCATTGAGCCTTTAGAGGAGTTTGTGAATGAGGAGAACCCTCCCAAGTACAAGGCTTTTATGTGGGAGAAACTGTCAACCTCTCGAAAGCTGAGTGAATTTGTGAAGTCGGATGTGGAAACTATGAAGGCATAAGCCCGTTCTCTTTGAGCCCTCAATCCCTCTGTTTGAATATGTGCACACGTATATCTCATTGTCTGTCTTTTGCTCTATGTCTTATTAAGGTGCGAATGAGTCCCTTTGTGTTCTACATATGGACAACTGAAAGGGTTTGTATCTTCTTAGGATTGAGTTATTACTTGTGTGGAGAGGCATGGGGTAGTAATTACTTGAATTTTGATGTGCATATGGTCCTGTGCTTTTCAATACTCAATAAAATGTCTGCATAACAAGAATCTTGCATTTATAATTCCCTCCTTTTTAATTTTTTTTTTCTTGACATATTTCTTCTCAAGAATGCATTAGTAGTGTAAGGCCTATGGTACATAATCGAAGGTTCAATCATATGAATCTCTGACATGACGAGAAACTAAACTTGGCAAATGTATTTAGAATTTATTCTTGTATTTTTTTTGATGTATTTAGAATTTATTGGACTTTAGGTTCTGTTATCTGTATACTAGTGTTAATAACGTATGGAGTTTTTTTATTGAACTTAACTTATCATTTTTATGTTCTTCGTTTCCAAATATGCTTCTGTAAATGTTTTTTTTGAAATGTGTGATTTTTTATTTGTTAGTTTCTTTTGGATTTGGAGGATATAATTAGAATGTACTGGACTTCGGATTGTCTGTGCTGTATATTTTAGGTGTTAGAAATCAGCTGCTAGGAAAAAGAAACAATTAATATTTATTTAGGAACTTGGTTTTTTTTTGTTAATAAATATTTGGGACCTTAGAAGAAGGTGGATTCAAGGTCACTGCCATTGACCTAACTGGTTCTGGAATAGATTCCTCAGATGCAAAGAGTATTACAAGTCTCTCACAATATGCTAAGCCTCTTCTTGATTATCTTGAAATTTGACTGGAACAATCCTTCCTTTTCCATCATAATGTAGGTCATTTTGGTTGGGCATGATTTTGGAGGTGCTTGTATATCATATGCTATGGAGGCTTTTCCACAAAAAGTTGCAAAGGCTGTTTTTGTTGCTGCAGCAATGTAGACAAGTGGACAGAGTGCACTTGATTTGTTCTCTCAACAGGTATGCCTTACAATCTGTGTATCTCTGGCCATGATGAAATGCATTTGGTATGCATGCATGATATATACATGGTGGTTGATCTTGTGATCTTGGAAGCTATCCCTATCGTATTCCAATAGTTTCTGTGAAGCTATAGTACGTGCTGTTATTTGCTTTTTGATTATCTGTATGTCGCTAAACAAGGAAATGATAAAACCAGGCATCTATCATGTGTTTCCTATCAACCTTGGCATCTATCATGTGTTTCCTCTCAATAAAACAACTGTTACGCTTTCTCCAAATTTCAAAAAAAAAACAAAGGTGACCTTCTGACATCATGCCGAAGATGATTGGAAGAAATTTGTTATTTAAGATTCATTGGTTGGTAGAGAATGTTTCTTATCTTTGTGAATTTTGGTCACAAAGGCTATAGAGCCCATTATCTCCCCTTCTATGGATACTTTCATTGGGGCCAGGCTACTTTTTCTTGGGGCCCTAATTTCTGAATGAGCTCGTGGTATTTAGAGACATAGAAGGGGAGAGTGGAGTTGTTGTATAGATATTGGAAAATATTTGTGACCATTTGTATTGGGCATTGTTCGACTTGTTGTTGCCTATGATCCAAGCAAACTTCTATATGCTTAATAATATACCTGTCTTGCATCATGTCAACACTGATACTGGTACCAGATACTCCTAGGATAATTGTCAATAAAAAATGGCATAACTATATAAAAATAAATTATAATTTTATGAATTATGGTATCTTATATAAACGTATCAATGTGTTGCGTGCTTATATTGATGTAGTGCAGTTTGGATTGACCAATGTCACCAACTAAAACCCATTATATTTAGATTTACTTATGAATAGTTTCACATTGCTTAGTACTGAATGTAAGTAGTGCTCAAGTTATTACGGGTTATTGTTGAATGGGCTGATTTCTTACTGCTTGTATTGTGCATGTGTGTTTGAATGGGCTGATTTCTTAGTTCTTGCATTTTTAATTATGTATGTTTAAACTATTACAGGTTATTGTTTAAACTTAATTAAATTGAGGTTGTGCTTGACATTGTCTATAGATTGCTTTAATTTTTAGGTGCAATGAAGTTTATCATGGAACATTTGTGTCAATTGGTGTACAAATGTATCTCTCTCTAGGACGCTTCTCTCACTCATCAATAAAAGTCTCTCATAACTCTCTCTCTCTCTCAATCCAACATACTTTACTTTCAATTGATATTGTATTCCAAAAAATAATATTCTACAAATTAATAAAAAACAAATATCTAGGTGTCAATTATAACATTTACATCTTGCCTATTACTTAAAGCTAATCCAATACAGATATCCAGATCTTCTTTTACTTCTTAGGAGGTTATCAAACAAGAAACCAAAAACTTCTTAACTTCCCAGAAGGTTATCAAACACAGAAGCCGGGAACTTCTTAACTTCACAGGGAGTTTATCAAACACAGAAACCAGGAACTTCTAATTTGAAGTTCTTCAGGAACTTCCAATTTACAGTTAATGAACTTGCTTCCAGTTATCAAACAGGCCCTATAAGTAAGGGTGCGGTTTGTATAGAGCCTAGGCTCTAAACAATCAAATTAGAGCTTACTTTCAAATAGTGTCGAGAAATGTAGTTTTACTACTGGAAATCTTTGTGATAGCTTGAAAAAATATTTTTATATTTATTTTTAAAGTTCAAAGCTTCAAAAGCAGTGTAGATCGATAGATCTATGAAAACTTGAAGAACTTGAAAATTGACGGTCTAAAACTGCGTTACAAAATACACTATTTCTAAAACTTGAAATTCATTTTTTTCTCATGTCCATGCATCTTGATGTCGAGATGATCAATTTGAAGATATTTAGGCATCAAAACAACCTCTTCTAGTGAACTTTTTTACGTAGGCTCAAATTTGATTGTTTAGAGCCTCGGCTCTATATAAACTTTTCCCTATAAGTAATGCTTGATTCACGCATAAGTTATAAAAGTGAACGATGGATGCCATGGAGGGTTATTTAATAGTGCGGAAAGCACGAGACTGGCTTGCTCATTTCACGCTATTATCGTATTTTCTTTGGTTTGATTCTAGGGAAAATGCACTAGGCCCCGCCTAATGGGTATCTGATTTTCCATGGTTAGCATTATGACATAATGACCCTCAAGTTAGTGAAAGGGGCATTACCCATTCTCCCACAACCCTTTTTTTGCCCCATCTCTCTTATCACTCTCACATTTTCCTTTGAGATTTTTCTATCTCCTCTGATCTTTGTCTTTCTCTCTCTCTCTCTAAAATGGTTTCTTTCTGTGATGGGCCTCAACTCGAGCGTAGTGTATTCGGCCACCCTGACCACGTCCGCGGTTTCTCTCGAGGCCTATCCTGAGAGAAAAAGTCTAAAAAGGTGAATGAAGAAAGGTATGTTATAAAAGGTTCGATCAAACAACCAACCCATTGATTTAAACAAAAAGGATAGCATATCTCATGCAAACATCTAATGGGATTTAAATACCCATTTATAGTGGACCCAATACTTCACTACTTCCTACAAACAAGTGGTCGGGCCTGGATCTACCTCGCTCGATGACCCGGGTTCCCTCTTGAACAACCGCTTGACCTCACGAGCACGTGTGTGTCTTGTGTGTTACCTAACTATGAGAGGATTTTAACACGATGAAGAGATGGACTCGAGATCCAACCTCACCGTGGTTTTGAGTTCGTAGGATAAGCCCTGACTATTGCCCTCTTATATCAATGAACGAAAGCCCTCCAGCAGCATGGTTTGAATTTGGTCCCCTCTCTAAACTCAACACCTCACCTCTACTCTCACTGGAAAGCTGTTGATGAAATCCAAATATCATGAACTACTCTTTGATGTGCTTTTTATGAGTTAATGGTTCTAGTTTTGGGGGTGGAGTAGTAAGACAAAGAAGGAAAAAGAGAACAGAAATGAGTTGGTGAAAACTTGGTTTAGAGGTGAGAAGAAGCAAGTAAAGGAGATAAGTGAAGAGACGACCCAAAGAAATTTGGGCAGCCTCCTGGCGTAACCTCTCCTAAGAGGTATTATCGGAGACAAGGAAAAGCACGAGGTTCGAAGCCTTGGTACCAGAGGATTTGGAAAGTGGAGTTACAAGACTTGGCCTATAACTATGTCACTAAACCAAAAACCCCCCAAAAAGCGATCAAGGGTTAGAAGACGGTGGGGAGAGAGAGAGAGAGAGATAGAGAGAGAGAGAGAGAGAGATGAAGGCCTCTCACAACCCGAGCACTGCGTGACTCAGTGGTTAGAGTAGTGAAAGCTAACTCAGGATGACCCCAACCCGAGTGACCGAGTGTAAAAGAATCAGTGTCTCTTATGACCTGACTTCACTGTATGGGTTGATGGTTAGAGTAGCAATCAGAGAGTTAAAATTGTAGAGCACTATCTTAGGACGACCCCTAATCGAGCAATCAAAAAGTGAAAGAAACAACGAGTAAAGAGAGAAATAAATGAACGATGAAATAAAAACAAAATAAAATAAATGAGAAGTTGATGTATGATATAGAGAGAGAATAGAGCATTTAAGGTGAGAGAAAATAAGATGAATGGGGTCAAAGAATGATGGACCCGCCTATGATGTGGGTCCAAACTCTAAGGGGAGATGAGAGGGTAGAGGAGGTGAGAGAATGGAGAGCAGATGGGGCTAATATGAGAATGTGGGGGAGATAGAGTAGTGTATAAAGTGTGAGGCGGATAGGGGAGTTTGAGAGTAGGGTGAATAGGGTAGAAAGTAGGGGGGATAGGGGAGTATGAGAGTAGGGCGGATAGGGTAGTGTGAGGGTAGGGCATATAGGGGTGTGTGAGGGTAAGGCGGATAGGGGAGTATGAGGGTAAGGTGGATAAGGGTGTGTGAGGGTAGGGCGGATGAGAGAGTACAAGAGTGGGGTGGATGGGAGAGATGAGAGAGTAAAAGAGTGCGGCAGATGGGAGAGAGAACAAAGAGAGTACAAGAGAGAAATAGAGAATAGGGCAGATCCGCCTAAGGCGCAGGTCCATCACTTTGATGAGAGGGAAAGAGTGAGTAAGAGAGTGAGGAGGGAGTCGGGCCCGTCTTAGGCACGGGTCTGGGCTTGAGCGGGAGAGAAGGAGAGAGAGAAAGAGAGTGAAGAGAGGGAGGGCTCGGATGCACCCTAGGTCCGAGCAGAGGAGAGAGAGAGAGAAAGAAGAGAGAAAGAAAGAGATGAGAGAAGAAAGAAGAGAGAGAAAAGGAGAAAGAAGAGAGAAGAAAGAAGAAAGAGAAAAAAGAAGAGAAAGATATAAAAAGAAGAGAGAGAAGAGGAAGGAAAGAGAGTAGACCTAGAATAGGCTTGCGCTTAGGTGCACCTTCGTCGGTCTCTTTGCATGCACATGAGAGAGAGAGGTCTAAGCTTTTGGTATATGGTTTAGGTAGGCTAGGTTAAGGTGTAGTGTATAAGAGCTAGTGTCTATGGTATAGGATAAGGTGTAGGATAACAAGGTATATGGGATAGGCTAAGGTGTATGATGTATTATATGATCTAGGCTAGGGTGTAGGCAAGCTAAAGCAGGGTGTAGGTGTATGGAATAGGGTTGGAAGCTAGGGGCCCTAAGGTGTATGGATGCTAGAAGTTCTAAGGTGTATGGGATTGGGGGTTGGAGATCCTAAGGTAGTTGGAATTTTGGGGTTCGGAGTGGAGGGTTCTAGGGGTATTTTCTCTCTCTAAGAAATGTTGCTCTCTCCTCCCATCTTGAACCTTGAAGTTGAAAGCAAAGCAAAAAGAACAAGCCTAGGCCTTAGAATTCTCAAGCCTTTCTCATTAATTTCCAACACTTTCAAGAGAGATCAAGAGAGCTCATTTACAAATGACTTAATCCTTATATAGAGCAACCACAAAACTAAGGTGTAATGCTAAAAAACTACCAAAATTGTCAAAAAATACATATTTTATGAATTAAAATGTGAATCACAATTTTGGACCAAATGACCAAAATACCCTTAAGCACTTTTCAACAAATGACAAAACCATCCCTCCATGAGGGGCTTCTTGCCATTGCTAGGCCTCGGGAGCTTTTTCGAACGCTTATGGTGGTAATTTGGGCGATCAATCATCGTAGAATTGATGTTTGAACTGTTGTGCACGTTTTGATACCCTTTAATCATCTTGTAACTGATTTTTAAGGAAGAACCCAAAATTCGACGAAGTTCCATATACTTGTGATTCTTCAATCACCAATCTGGCATGATATATGACGTTCCATGCCTGCATTTTGATTACAAACTGAAGAGGATACTATCACGATCATTTTGTGATAAATTTCGTCCATTTTGGTCTCCATTTGAGCACGTTCCAATTTTGGGAAGTTGTTAGAAAGTGGGATTCCGGCAACCGAAAAAGTATGCCATCTTTGACCTCAAAATTCGTGTAATCCGGCCTCCGATCATTGACAAAAACTATCTCAAACTAGCTCGTCGAAGCACGGCCGCAACGGACCCATACTTGCGACGATCCGACATCGACATCTTGAGCTATGCCCTCTCAAAGAATTGAATGTTCTTCTTTATTAAATCTTAATTTTCATGTTTTGAGCCCATCTTCTCTCTAAATATTCTCTTGTTTCGGGCCACGCCATGATGTGTGCCATATGTCAAAATGAGTGTATCATTGAGATCTAGCTCGTGTCCGAATTTGAGGTTAATTGGACTCAAAACAAGCAAGTTATGAGCATTTGAAAATCATTCCGAAATGAGAAAACACAGTTTCCGTCAATGGAAACTGGTTCACCACGGCTACACCGCAATAGTGTAAAACCCACAATTTTATGGTAAGTTGGGACCATAATGGTCCCAGAGGGTTCGATTTAATCGAAATTTCGTTTCTAGGGGTTTTGGGCGTTTTAGATCCAATGACGGTAGTCTGATAATGTTTTGAGACCCAAATAATAAGGCTATAGTTATAGGTCTATTTTCATCATGATAGGAACTGGATTTGAAAACTAAGTTTCTTCTTGATCATATCAAAACTTGTCAGAGTGCGACGAAACTTATGGGTGTCCTTAGGGTATCCAAAAATACCCTTTTATGCAATTTGAGGCCATTCTAACACTTCTTTAGAGGTAGCCCAATTTTAGGCTTATTGCTATAGTGTTCCTATGGTTTGGCTGCGTCTTGGGCACCGACAGGACCAAGTTATTGCC